ACCCGCCCGCCCCAGCGTGGCCGTCACCCCCGGGGGAAAGAGGGCGTTGGTGAGAGGCTTCATCTGTGGGGTGACTCGGGGGGAAGGGCAGCACAGCGCCGCCTTGTTCATGACTCTTTAGACGTTCACTTTAATTGTGTTCCCTACCCTTGAAACCCAGACGTGCGGTGTGGTGCGTGTGAGAATGTTCTAGTGCGTGAGCATGGTACACAGCCACACAGGGACCCCCCCATATGGAGCTGACCCTCCACGTGGCGGGAACTGGGCGTCTCCGGGGAGAAGTCCGCGTGTACGTGGACCACGTCGCTCACACCGCGCCGTCAGGGTCCCCTGCCACCTTCCCCAGATGGCTCTGTCCGTCCCCTACGAAGTGACTCCCTAACGCCACCTTCTGCTCCGTCCTAGTCTCTAGAGGAAGTGTGCGACCTGCTGCACGCAGCCCCCTTCCAGAACATCCTGCCGAGGGTCCACGTGAAAGGTGAGCCCGCGTCCCCCGGCGGAGCCGGTGCCTAGGAAGTTAAATAAATGGGAAAACAGAAACCTTCGGGGTTCCTGCGATGTGATCTCTTCACGTGCTTCTCAGTAGATGGCTGGGTGCGGGGTGTGGACCCAGAGGGACTGGACCTTCACTCCGATCTGCTTCGCTTTGGATTATATTTTCAGTCAATTTTCAAAAGTGAAGGTTGAACAGAAAGTCATTCCTGTCGCTTTGAATTAAAACATCAAAGCAGTCGGTTCTGCACATGAATTTTCAACGATAATCTGCACGGACCATGTTACTTTCACAGCCTTCCCTTTGTTTTCTTATGTAAACTGTAACGCTGTGATCATTCGCACAAGAGACAGTGCACGCTAATTTTTTCCACTGCAGAGGGAGAGAGACTCGATGCCAAAATGAAGCGACTGGAATCCAAGTACGCCCCCCTGCACCTCGTCCCTCTGATTGAGAGACTGGGGACCCCTCAGGTAACCTCCTGGGTCAGCCGTCGCTGTCCACGTCGGGCCTGGGTGAGGCTGGGTGTGCAGGCTCTGGGGGAGCCCAGAACAGAAGGCATCAGGATGTCGGACGGGTCCACTCGGCCCCAGGGTCTCCAGGGGGCGTTCGTAACAGGACCCGGTCACAGGGCGTTTCAAATTGTGAATCAGCTGCTTCCCTTGAACGTGTGTAGAACACCCCCTGGCAGGTGAGCCGTCTGCAGAGGTGTCGCCTGCTCCTGGTGTCCATCCCTCATGAAGAAGGCTTGGTCCCAGGTGTTTAAGAACAGACGGGGCGGGGGGCAGACGGGAGGCCAGGTATCCCGGGTCTGTTCCATTAGCTGCTCCTAGACCTGCCCCGTGTGGTGACGATGGAAGTGTCTGCACACATTGCCGCAGTTCTCTGCAGGCACCATCGCTCTGTCCTCGGCCGTGAACCCCACTGAATCGTGTAAGACGTAGGGAATACCTGACCTTTATTTGGTTTGATGCTTCTGCAAGTGAAGATCATTTTCCATTCAGTCAGGAAGAAAACAGGGTTTGTTGGTTCCGCCCTTGACCTCCCGTGTGGCCCCATCGCGTGCCTTCCTTCCCGCAGCAAATTGCCATAGCGAGAGAGGGGGACCTGCTGACCAAGGAGCGTCTCTGCTGCGGCCTGTCCATGTTCGAGGTCATCCTGACGCGGATCCGGACCTTCCTGGATGACCCCATCTGGCGCGGGCCTCTGCCCAGCAACGGGGTCATGCACGTGGACGAGTGTGTCGAGTTCCACAGACTGTGGAGCGCCATGCAGTTTGTGTACTGCATCCCTGTGGGCACGCACGAGTTCACGGTCGAGTAAGTGTGTGCTCCGGGCACAGGGAGGTGGCTGCTGAGCTGTTTAAAGCTACTGAAGTGCAGTTCTCACGTGACTTGGGGCTCAGCCTCTGGGAGTCGACCCAGGAAACTTAGGCACGTGTGTGTGCATTCCTCCAGCGAGGGCCCCAGCCTCCTGAAGTCCTTCAAGGAGGGTGTGTGATAGAAAAACAGGTTAGGAAACGGGGTCCAGAGGCACCCAGAGGGGTCTTCACCAGGAACAGGGACACGCCATCAGCTGCCCAGTTTTCCCAGAAGATGCCTGGGTCGTGGACGTCTGGAGACAGAGACGGATGCAGGAAAGACTTTCATTCTGCTCATGGCTTCTTGTTTTTTAATCCTCACTTGAAATTTTTCCATTCATTTTAGAGAGAGAGGAAGGGAAATTGAGAGAGAGAGAAACATCAGTAATGAGAGGAAATTGTTGATCAGCTGCCTCTTGGACACTCCTCAGTGGGGACCAAGCCCGAAATCCTGGCATGTGCCCTGACCGGGAATTGAACCCTGACCTCCTGGTTCACAGATCAACGCTCAACCACCCAGCCACACTGGCCAGGTGCTGACAGCTCCTTGTTTGCAGGCAGTGCTTTGGCGATGGACTGCACTGGGCCGGCTGCATGATCATCGTTCTCCTTGGGCAACAGCGGCGCTTTGCTGTCCTGGATTTCTGCTACCATCTGCTGAAAGTCCAGAAGCATGATGGCAAAGACGAGATTATCAAGAACGTGGTACGTGGACAAAAGCCTTGTGTCCTACGGTGACGTTTCATAGTAAAGCATGCTTTCAGTCTATGACAACTTCTCTCTCGGGGGATGTTTTCCATCCCAGCACATAAGGTGCCGCCGAGTGAAGCTTCCCTTTGATTCTCAAAATGAATCGTAATGAAATTGGTGAGTCAGGCAGTCTGACAGTTAAAATACCAAGTCTCCCATTTTTATCCTCTTCAGGGTTCTTAGATCTGTGTGTTAACATGGAGTCTCACGGGACGCGCGATCAGGCCCTTGGCCTACTGCCTGGTCTCCTGGCTTCCTTTGTGGTCGTCAGAGTGTGCCTTTCGGCTGCTCTTTAGATCGTTTTATCGTTTTCATTTTCTGAAATGTTTGTCATTGAATTCTAGAAAACACTCAGACATTATCTATTTGTCTACGTATCTATCTCATTTTCCCTGTGGCAGCCTTTGAAGAAGATGGTGGAGAGAATCCGCAAATTCCAGATTCTTAATGACGAGATCATCACCGTGTTGGACAAGTACCTGAAGTCGGGCGATGGAGAGAGCACGCCCGTGGAGCACGTGCGCTGCTTCCAGCCCCCGATCCACCAGTCCCTGGCCAGCAGCTGAGGACATGCCTGTGGCTGCTTTGGGAGTCCCGGTCCTGGCTGCATCAGTAACTGTAGGGCATGTTCTTGTCACACGCAGTGAGGTTTGTAGGGACTCGGTCAGTGTCCTTGTACCTGTGAAAGGGCACTTTTTGATCTGAAAGCCTAAATTTATAAAATTGACTTATTTTTCTAGCCTAAAATTGTCTATGCTTTTGGTAACTAGGAAGCTTGAGACTATTGGCTGCAAATTGCTGCCTTCCCGTTCTTACAGTTATTTTCCGTTTTTCTGTGAAATGTCCAAGTGCCACCGGGGTCATCCGTGTATCCCTCAGCCAGGGTTCAGTGACGTTCAGGGACTCCAGCAAGGAACCTGGATAGCTGATTGTCAAAAGTCGCTACTAATTAAAGTGGAAATTAATGATTGTTTAGCTTTTGTTAGGCCTTTTGCTAATGATCTTTTATGAATTAAAGTCATTCTTTCCTTCCCTATTTGTGTCAATTATTTCAGAAAAGAGTGAGCTTGACTCCTTGTTTCTACTAAATCCATTTGTAACATCTAATGTGTGAGGGATGATTTAAAGGGTGTGGAAATAAAAGGAATGAAACCTCCTTGCTGTTGATCATTTCCTGTGACCACCCTGTGTGTGTTGGCTTGGACAAGGCACTTCTCTGCTTATCTGGGTGCACAGACTGAGTCCTTGGAATGAGTCTTGCCCACCACAGCTTCGGAGGAGGAGTAAGTTATCTCTGTCTGTGGACACAGAGCACCGATTCCAGGTAGGACCCACGCACATGCTACTGAAAATGCAGGGTGAGCTGTTCCCTGTGCCGCTCAACCTGTATGTGTTTTCTTGATGTGAACTGATAACCTTGGGACCTGCATTCTGATGGAGGCAGTCTCTGTCCTCAGCCCATAATGAAAGGCTAGAATCTCGGGAAAAATGACTGTGATGATTACATTGACATAACTCAGATTCCTGTGTTTTAGAAGTGTTACAAACCACACCAACGGTAGTAAACACTTATGGAAAACACAAGTGATTTAAGATGTTAACTGAACCTCTTGGTTATAGGTTGATGCTCAACCACTAGCCACACTGGCCATGCCCAATAGAGAAATTAATGGAATAGAATAGAAGATGTAATAAGAGACCCAAATCCAAAGATAAATTTTTAAAAATATATATTTTATTGATTTTTTTTACAGAGAGGGAGGGAGAGGAATAGAGTTAGAAACATCAGCTGCCTCCTGCACACACCCTGCCCGCAACCAAGGTACATGCGTGTACTTACTACACAAACTTCACAGGATGCTGTCGGCGAATTCCTGTGCAAAAACGATCCTCTCCTACCCTCTTGTGGCCATTCAAGGAATAACACCTTTGTGTTGCTGTCCGTGGTGCTGAAACCCCAGCTAATGTCCTGTGAACACGACCAAAATTTCTAACCAGGGGAAAACAAAACAAAAAACCCCCACAAAATCATGGAGGCTGTCCAGGGCGGCAATCATTCCGTCCCTGGATGGACTGAAGCCATGGGTCTGGATTTTTTTTTTTTTCATGGGTCTGGATTTTTATTTTTCCCATGGGTCTGGATTTTGCACCTCTTCCCGCCCCAGCCCTGCAAAGGGAGGCCTTGGCTGCTGCACTGACATCAGGAACCTGTGCGTTTACGGTGTCAGTCCGTAACCTGGAGGCTGCCATTACGGAGGCGGCCAGTCCGTACAGCGAGGTGCTGGAGTGTCGCGAGACTCAGCGTTCTCGCGAGAGGCCGCCGTTATTGCGGCATGCCCTACCATGGAGGCCGCCATTATTGAGGTAGTCCGTACAGGGGAAGCCGCCGCTAACGAAAACGGCCAGTACCGAACAGGACGCTCTTAATGAGGCAGCCAGTAACCTGCAGGCCGCCAGTATTGAGGCAGCCAGTACCTGGAGGCCGAAATTACGGAGGCAACTAGTAGCCTGGAGGCGGCCACGATCGCGGCAGTCCTACCCTGAAGGCCGCCATTAATGAGGCAGTTATTGAGTACCGGGAGATGCAGCGCCGGTTGGAGACCTGGGATTTAAGGAATTTCCGTGGGTGATGATGATGGAGAGGACAAGACGCATGATCCGGCTTTACAGAATAGAAAGTCAAGCCTCAAAGAGAGGGACGTTACTTCTATGCACGTTTGCCAAGAACCGCAGGGCCGAGAGGGCCCTGACCGGCTGTGAAGGGGCCACGCTACCGCCGAGGATCTGACGGAGAGGGCGAGTCGGGGATTCCTGACGCGCCTTCACGTTCCCCCGCTCCCCCCCACTCCTCCACCGGTGACCCGTGGGTTTTCCATTTATCGCCCTTTTCCGGGGCAAGAAAAAGTGGTGGCAGGGCCGGAAGCGCGGTAGCCCTTGGGTTCGAGACGACGGCGCCGTTTAAGGCAGAGCGAGCGTCCTGGTAATATTGGAGCCGCTAGATTCTTCACCCGGGCTCCGGCCCAAATTGGAGAAAACCTACAATGTTTTGGCGGCCTATGGAAGGGCGCTGAGGGTCACAAAGCATAGGGTGCCCATCGAAAACGCCAAGCCTCCCAGGGCCACCGGAAGCCCCGCCCCTGGGCGGGGTCAGACAGCCTCTGGGAGGAAAGAAGTGAAGCCCCGCCCGTGGGCGGGGTCAGACAGCCTCAGGGCCACCGGAAGCCGCGCCCCTGGGCGGGGTCAGACTCTGGGAGGAAAGAAGCGAAGCCCCGCCCCGCGGCGGAGCGCGCCTGCCATGGCTGAGCCCCCCGGCGCCCGCTCCGCTGCCCTGCGCTTAGCTGCCGCAGCCAGCTGGAGGGCCGTGCGCGGACGCTACGTGGAATACTTTCCGCGAGTGCTGGAGTTTCTGCGGTGTCTGCGCGCTGCTGCTCCCGGCTTGGTTCGCTACCGCCACCACGAGCGCCTGTGCATGGGCCTAAAGGCCAAGGTATGAGAGCCCCTGGGACCGGGAACCGGCAGAGCGGAAGGGGCGGGATGCGAGGATCAGACTAGGACCGGCCGCCTGTGGGTGGGAGCGTTGCAAAAGGGAAACCTGCCCCGAAGTGGGAATTCTGAGCTCAGTCCCCTTCACAGGTGGTGGTGGAGCTGATCCTCCAGGGCCGGCGTTGGGCCCACGTTCTGAATTCCTTGTATCTCCACTTTCCAGTGTCTGGACCTACTGTCGTGCGGGACCCCAAAGCTGTGAGTCATCCCTGGGACAGTCCCCACCCACAGTGAGTCCTTGGTGCCTCTAACTTGTCTGCCTTTTTACCTTCAACAGACAGAACAGGATCTGAAGATCATCTCCGAGGCACAGGAAGCCTTTCGCCAGCAGGTGAAGCTGCTGGCAGAGGCCCCTGAGGATTTGGATTGGAAGTTGCTGGTGAGACTAGCGAATTTCGGAAACTATAATGTGGCTTTCTTTTCTAGTTCTTTTCTGACCAGATTTTTTTCTGTTGGCAGGAACTTGAACAAGAGTATGGGGAGCCCTTTCTATCTGCCATGGAAAAGCTATTTTTTGAATACTTGTGTCGGCTGGAAAAAGCACTGCCTACCCCCCACACAGAGCAGGTTTTCCTAGGGCAAAATGCAGAGGGCAGAGGGGAGGGTGGTTGAATCAAGGACTGTGGTCTTCATGGTCTCCCCTTGCCCACAGCTTCAGGATGTGCTGAGCTGGACGAAGCCTGGGATTTCTATCACATCTTCTTTTGCTTTGAGCCAATATAGTGTGGACATGGGGTGGCCACTTCCAGGTACCAGGACCATCTGGAAATATTAGGAATTTGGGGGTGGAATATGTAGCCTGAGATCTTTTGAGACAGCCAGCTCATTAGAAAGATTACATGGGCTTGAGACCCAAGAAACCAGACTGAGTTTATGTGTTACTCTCTGTTCTCTTTATAAGGAACATTCTTTTCTTTTTAGAGTGCTCTGTGACTAATTCAGTGAACATGTCAGAGTCCGTGGAGCCCAGTCCTCCTCAGCAGCCAAGACCAGCACTCCATCAGCCTGTGCCAAAAAGCAACTCTGGCCCACACCATCCTCAGGGACCAGCCTCAAGAAAGCACCCAGAACCTTTGGCTGGCCACCACTTCAATTTGGCTCCTCTAGGCCAGCGAAAAACCCACGCCCAGTGGACATCCACGAGGGTAGGCCATAAAGAGCACCCCACAGTCATGCTATTCCCCTTTAGGAATCGGAGTTCACCAACCTACGTCATATATCAACCCAGAACAGGAAAGAACAACGGACACACACAGCAGTTCCAGCAGGTGATGTGGGCACGAAAGCAGCCTCCACTGGAAAGTCTAGGAGTCCATCCCAGACCCTGGGTGGAAAGACTGTGAAGGAGAACCCAGCTGACTTGTCCGCCTCGGAGCAAAAGCCGTGAGTGGAACAGTAGCTTCTGCCTCCTAGCAGCACAGTCCTTGCCTGCTTTCCCTTCATCCTCTCTTCTTTGCTTGTTCCCACCCCAGGAATTGCTGGGACTGCTCCATGGAGCCCCTGAGATTGCATACTGAGTCAGGATGGGATCAGACAGCCTCCTCTCTTGGAACTTGAGGACCTGTGTTCATCTAGAAGAGTACTTAATTCTGGTTTCCTTCTTGCAGTGTGTCCTCCATCTCTGTGCAGCCCTGTCATGACCAGAGGGGACTTGGTTTTGGACTCTGATGAGGAGGAAAATGGCCAGAGTGGAGGAATGGTGAGTAGGGAGCAACAGAAAGCTGGGGAAAGAAGGGGATGGGGCAGAACAACACAGAGACCCATGCTCCCTGAATATAGAGGGCTCAGGGAATGTTTCAGATGACAGGATCGCTCTGCTCCCTTCTCTGCAAAACTATGAGAAGACAAAGTTTGACACCCTAGTCCCCACCTTCTGTGAATACCTCCCCTCTCAAAGTCCCAGTGCTATGTCTGCCCCTTCCCATGACCATGTAGGCTCCTCTGATAGGACCAGAATGCCATCTCATCTTCCCTGTCTCCTTCCTCCTCACCTCTGCAGGCCATTTGGTGGGGATAAAGTGGAAGCCCAGCCTTGGGTTGCTTGACTCTGTGGCCCAAATTACTTTGTAATGCTTGATCATTAAACTTTGTATTTGTTAAAACGCTGTGTTGGTATGAGGGAGGGGAATTAAGGCTTCTATAAGGTCAGTGTAAATCATTCCTTGGAAACATGACTGGACTCTCCAGGACTAAAAGAATCCCTTTGCCCTTTTACTTCCCTTGGAAAGTGTTGTTCAGGTGTATCAGAAAGATTACCAGGGCTGAGAACGTGGTTGAGAAATTACCTTTTGCTATTCTGAAAATATCTGTATGGCCTGATGCCAGAATATATACTCTATAAATTTTCATACTGCCAGGTTATCGGGAGGAGAGTGGTGTGGTAGCACTTGAATGGAGACGCTTCTTGGGAAAAGTACTCACTGTCCTTGACAAACCTGTCTACAATTTGCACAAACCTCTTACATCCACTTAGAAATGACCATCCTCAGAATAATTCTACTTCAAGCTTTGTCCTGCAAAAACGGGTCTTCGCACTTTATGCCTTTTCTCATCATAAGCTTACTGAGGAAGAGAGAAATATCCATGTGACAGACACAATGATCACTTGCCTCTTGCAAGTACCTGGACCAGGGTGACGGGATGGGGAGCAGACCTGCAACCCAGATTGTGTCCTTGACTAAAGATCGAACCCCAGACCCTCCTGTGTGTGGCTGACACTCTAACCACTGACCCACACTGGCCAGGACTTTTTCAAAGAACTCCTGAGCCAAGTACAACGACTGGAAGGAAATCAGATTTTACAAACATTTTTCAGTTTGTTCTATAAACATTCAGACTTAGAAATTTGTTTCAATTTGTCTTTTTATTATAACATGAGCTAGATTTCAAAAATCACCTGTGTCTTCTGACTCTCCCAGGTTGTGAGAAGATCTAAGGGCAACGACTCATTATGAAAGTATCCTGGAAAGTACCAGAGCGGACGTCACCCAGGTCCGGGCCCGGAGGGAGCAGAGTAACACTGCGGGCAGCCGGGCACAGAGGGTGTCCTGGCTTTGCACCAGGTGCCGCCCAGGACGGCCACCTCTGTGCAGGGACAAGTCACAGGACAGCAGTGCTCTGTGGGGTGACCTCCTACTCTCTGCTGTGCCAGCGAGTTGTCTTCAGTAACTCAGAGGATTCTCTATCTTAATTTCAAAATTAAGATAATTCCTCAGAAAGGAGGCATTTTGTAGGTAAATCACAGGCTAATATCTGTTCTTTTTTCAAAATAAAAATGACTTAAGACGGCCAGGGACTGACGAGAGTGGTGATGACAAATGTATACACATCATACTTTCATCCCCAATGAAAAAAATAAAGCATTTTTATAGACTTAAAGCTACCATTAGTGCACTTAGATTTTGGTGAAAGAAAAATTTTAATACCACTACAATGTTAACAAAAATTGGCCAGGTACTGAGGTTATTTTAGTGAGCTACCATCATTTAAATATAAGAAAAGTAATTTCTTGGTCCAGATTAGTGAGACCTTAAAAAAGATTGTCTCTAGAGAACATTATTTGAGAATACCGCTTTTCCCAACACATTCTGATTCTCAAATTCGCTTTATAACAACAATGATCAACTTTTGATTCTTGCTTTCTTAAAAAGCTGTCAGGTTTCCATTTCTTCGGGAGACATTCTCCCCAGTGTGCTGTTCAATCCCACAGGTTAAACTTTCTAAACTTTCTTCGTTATTATTAAGAACTTCGTACATGTTAGTGAGATTGCCGTTCATCGCTTTTTCATCTTTTCGGAAAGACACGGGAAGGCTGGCTAGACTGAAGCTGACGTCTTTGAAGGCGTGCAGCAAGAAAATCCCCACGATGATGGTGCAGAAGCCACTCAAGGTGCCGATGATGTCGTCCACAGGCATGTCCTGCCACTCCTTGAAGAGAATCGCCGAGCAGGTCAGCACCGAGGTGGTGAAGAAGACGTAGTAGATGGGGGTGACGAGGGAGGTGTTGAATATGTCCAGGGCCCGGTTCAGGTAGTTGATCTGCGTGCTCACACAGACCACCAGGCTCAGCAGCAGGGCCCAGGCCAGGGGGTGCTGCAGCACAGGCTGGCCAGCAAACAGCTCCTTGATCGCGATGCCCAGGCCCTTCACACAGGAGACGGAGAACGCTCCGATCACAGAGCAGATGGTGATGTACACGAGAATGTTCGTCTGTCCGTGGCGGGGTCCCACCACGAAGATCAGTATCAAGGACACAATGACCACAAGTGTTGCAAAGACCACAAAACCTGGAGGAGGCAAAGACAAGTTATATTTATGTCTTTACTAATGTTTGTTTTTTAGAGAGGAAGGGAGAGGGATAGAAACATCAAGGGGAGAGAAACGTCAGCCAAAGACTGAACTTGCAACCCAGGTCTGTGCCCTCGACCGGGAATTAAACCCTCAACCCCTCGATGTGCCGGCTGACGCTCTAACAACTGAACCACACCAGACAAAGCTTCAAGTTTGGATTAAAATTAAAAAATAAGTAAATTAAGGAGTAAAAAGGCAGTGAGACCAGTGAAGCTTTTCTTTGTTCTTACCCGGATCCCCGAGCTTGTGTGACATCTCGTCTAACGTCTCGATCTCCTCTTCCTTCGGCGCGTGAATGACCATAACCGTGGAGCCCAGAATGCTCAGCAAGCACCCGAGCTTCCCGTGGAGATTCAGCCTTTCATTGAGGAAGTATGAGGACAGGATGGCACTGAGTGGGGGAGGGGGGTAAGATCAGAAAAATCCGCTACTTTTCTCATCTTAAAACATCAGCACAATTCTCATTTTGAATAACTGAACTCAAACTAAAACACTGTGAGTTTACAAAGATTCTGGCTTTCGGCCAAAGGGATAGAAAATGTCTTCAACCGTAAAATGGAAGCTTCCAGGGAACACCTGCTTCACCACAGGAACCATCTTCCTACCGTAGGAAATCTACACAAAACTCCCAATAAGTGGGGCCACGGAAGAACTTACATCCTATTTAAGAACCTATGTTCAAACCAAGGCTTAGTATTTTCTCAGATTTAATTTGTCCTCACTCACGGAAGCATCCTTCTTACTTGTTCATTTAATTCTATATATTTGCCTGTTGTCAAGTTTAAATACTTTACAGCTAGTTTTAGCCTAGCCAAACATAAAAATACAATATAAACCTATAAATATAATAATGGTAAAAAATACACAAAAATAAGGACCAAAGACATATGCCCTATCTTCATATACAGTCCATGCACCTACACACGCACACACACAATCTTGTGGGCGCTGCAGGGAGGAGGAGACAAATCCCTCTCAATCCACGCTGGGAACAGTGACCAGGACGCAGACTTCCACGCGGGGTCGGCTGTTAGACGCGTCTTGGACTCTCCTTCTCGGCCAGCGGGCCAGCCCTCAGGGCACACTTCCTGCCCATCAGTGACTGCTGTTGGCACAGAACCCACTCACCGACCACCACCACTGACCACCGCACATGGGTCGGGTGATAACTAGTGACAAGTGCAACTTGGAATGTTAACAAGTTAAAATCAAAGTCAGACTAGTGCCGGCTCTGAATACAAGCGAGACCAAGCGTGAAAGCATCTCCGCCCACACATGCTCAGCGTGCCCACACAGAAGAGAACCTTTTAAAGCAAATGACAGCCACTCCGCCAGTCCTCAGGTTTACGGGTAAGTCACACGGGACTGAGGACTGCCCGGTCCCGCACACGGACTGTGCAAGTGTCAGCGCAGTGTCCTTACCTGACGAGGACGCTGAGCGCTCCCAGCGGAGTCACGAGGGTGGCCGGGGCAAAGGCGTACGCGGCGAAGTTGGCCACCTCACCGGCTCCCACTTGGAGACGGACAAGAGAGAACTCTCAGATAGGAACACAGCTGCTCAAATGGAGAAACCTGCACTTGCGCACACATCTGCATATACTAAGGGACGTGAAGGGTTTCTCAGGTCGCTTCCACGGGCTCTTACCACACACCGGGTTGCAGGTTGGATCCCTGGCCCAGCTGGGGTGTGTGAGGGAGGCAACGCCTCAATGTCTCTCTCTCATAGCGATGTTTCTCTCTCTCCCCCCTCCCTCCTACTCTCTCTAAAGAACAATGGGAAAAATATGCTTGGGTGAGGATTAACAAAAAATAAAATAAAACAAAACAATAAAAACATGTCCTTGGCTGAGTCTTACAAAATCTATATAATAAAAGCCTAAGCAACTGTTATGGTGGAATGACCAGGCAACCGGTCACTATGATGCACAATGACCACCAGGGGGCAGACGCTCAACGCAAGAGCTGCCCCCTGCTGGTCAGCCAGAGCCAGGCTCATGGTTGGTGACCGCAGCGGTGGTGCCAGGAGCCTCTCCCGTCTCTGTGGCAGCGCTAAGGAGCGAGGGGTCTCGCACTGCAAGAGGGCGCAGGCTGTGCTGAGGGACACCCACCCAGTGCAACATTTTGGTGCACTGGGCCTCTATATAAATATGTACGTATGTATTTCTTAACATATTTTTATTGATTTCAGAGAGGAAGGGAGAGGGAGAGAGGGATAGAAACATCAATAATAAGAGAGTCATTGATCTGCTGCCTCCTGTACGCCCCCCACTGGGGATTGAGCCCATAACCACTAATATGCCCTTGACTGGACTCGAACCCGGGACCCTTTAGTCCGCAAGTCAATGCTCTATCCACTGAGCCAAACCAGCTAGGGCTAAATATATACTTTAAAAAAAAACTTTAAAGTTTTAAAATTTGCTAGTACTATGAAACTGTAATTGTGTCTGCAAATATTTCAGTATACAACTACAGTATTTCCTTGAAACCATCTCTATACATACTTGAGAGCAGTCCAGCCCACCACAGCCATTCTTTAAGATATGCATGGCCACCTTGACCTGTGAATGAAACAACATTTTAGTTTCTTGGAACATTATCAGGTTCCTACAAATATATGACAACTATCAGTAATGACAGATCTTATTTATTTACTTACTTTTAAATACATTTTATTGATTTTTTACAGAGAGGAAGGGAGAGGGACAGAGAGTTAGAAACATTGATGAGAGAGAAACATCAGCTGCCTCCTGCACACCCCCCACTGGGGATGTGCCCGCAACCCAGGTACATGCCGTTGACTGGAATCGAACCTGGGACCCTTCAGTCCGCAGGCCGACGCTCTATCCACTGAGCCAAACCGGTCAGGGCAGTAATGACAGATTTTAAAATCTCATTTGTTAATTACTACTGCTTTGAATAAAGGTTCCATCACTTATAAAGGGATATCTTAGATAACATTTTTAAGATTATACAAGAAAAGGGGATGTGAGGATCATGAATACGTTAAAAATGTTTAGGTTTGCTGAGTGAAGGGATTAAATCAATCCTTATACTTCTTTTCTGGTCTTAACTCAGCTTTAGCAAACAAAGAGAGTGAACCAGTAAGAAGTAGCCCAACTGCTAAAGGGTGAGTCTGCCAGCGGACAAGTCACTTAGGTATGGTCACCCGACATCTGAGGGGTGACATTGGAGAAAGGGGGCCCCGTACTGCCCAGACGTGAAAAGGCCGAGCCGTGCTCAGTCTGGGGCTGCCACTGTGCCCATCCTGCCCTTTCACCTGACTGATGTGACTTCCATCCCAGCACCCAAAGGTGGGCCACCGTCCGTCAAAAACGCCATGCAAGTGAAACTCCGGCGTGTCTCCGGGCGAGCGCCGCCTGGGGGCTGACCAGGAATGAGGAGCACACCCTTCCCTTCTGGCAGCACAGGCCATGCTCCCTCCTCTGCCCACCAAGCTCCAGCAGAGACTAAGATCGGTCAGGGCTCCTGCTTCGGCGAGACTTGGAGACGGCAGCGGAAAAGGGGGGGGGGGGGGGGGGTATTTTACTGCCAGAGGTAAAAAAAAACTTTATTTAAAGTTTTAAAATTTGGGGTCAGAACCCGGTTTAGAGCTGCCGTGGAGGCTGAAGGACAGACGTGACCGGATGTCACACAACCTGGCAACTGTCACGAGTGCCCAGGCCGGTGAGTGGGGTCCCATCACACCAGGTGTCCCCCAGGGTCTCCTG